TGGGGACAATGTGCCTGGTCAGAACAGCGATGCACAGAGATGACCACGAGACCAGCCCCACCATGGGAGACAGCATTCCTCGTTGACCCATGGCGGGAATTGTGCCCGCCATGAGCTCACCCTGTGGAACGCCAGCCTCTGGGGGCATGCATCAGAGCAGCGGGGGGAGCAGAGTGGTGAGGTCCCCAGGGATAGAGGCGGTGCCAGGACAGGGCTCCCCACCAGACTTGACTGGAAAGCACACGTGAAGGAAAACAAACAGACCCTAAACTATTCAGAGGGTTATATATGTATGCATGTGTGTGTGTATGTTGTAGTTGTAGCCATTGTTTTACTTTCTGTTGTCGCTTCATTGCACTCAGTCTGGTGATGGTATGTAGCACGTCTACCTGGAAAGGATAAGCGGAATAAACAAGCCAGAAGAGAGAACAATGGGATGACAGATCCGGGGAACATAGGGGTAGGGGAGGCAGGGGAAAGGATGAGGGCGTTAACAAGCACAGGGACAAGGAAACAACAAGTGATCCAAAAATAAATGTCAAGGAGGTTGTGGGAGGCCTTGCAGGGCTGGATCAAGTGCAATGTAACCGAGAGGAATGCCAGAAACCCAAATGAAGGCAGAACATGATAGCGGGACAAGAGGAAAGTACAAAGAAATAGAGGAAAGAACTAGAAGACAAAGGGTAGTCATAGAGATGTTAATACAGGCATATAAAGATGTAAATATATTTATATATGACGAGGAGGAAATAGATCTATGTACATATATTTATAGGTTGAGTATTAAGAAATCAGATGGACAGTGGGCCCCTGCACAAGTACTCCTCCAACACAAGAACACTTTGTTCTAACAATTCGGCGGTCTGAGATGCTCACCTGCCTGGCACGATCGCTGAAGACAATGGGTGCACAAGAAAATGTGGTGAAGAAAGCGGATGGTGCTTGGCTAACAAAAGATATAACACCTGAAGTCACTGAAGATAATGGGTGCACAAGCAAGTGTGGTGAAGAAAGCTGATGGTGCCCAGCTACCAAAAGATATAACACCTGAAGTCACTGAAGATAATGGGTGCACAAGCAAGTGTGGTGAAGAAAGCTGATGGTGCCCAGCTACCAAAAGATATAGCACCTGAAGCCTTAAAGACCTGAAGATAAACAAGCAGCCATCTAGCTGAGAGACAACAAAACCCACAAGGAAGAAGCACACCAGCCTGTCCCTACTCGATCGCTGAGGACAAAGTAGGTGCATTAGCAAAAGTGATGAAGAAAGCAGATCGTGCCCAGCTATCAAATGATACAGCATCTGGGGTCTTAAAGGCTTGAAGACAAACAGGCGGCCATCTAGCTAAGAAACAACAAAACCCACAAAGAAGAAGCACACCAGCCTACCCCAACACAAATGCTGAAGACAAAGCGGGTACATAAGCAAACGCGGTGAAGAAAGCTGATGGTGTCAAGCTGTCAAATTACATAGAATCTGGGGTCCTACATGCTGGAAGATAAACAAGGGGCCATCTAACTGAGAAACAAAGCCCACATGGAAGAAGCACACCAGCCTGTAAGATGACAAGGCGGTGAAGGGGTCAGGTATCAGGCATCAAAGACCAAAAAATATATATATATATAATATTGTGAATGAGGGGGAATGCAGAGTGGGGACCCAGGGCCCATCTGGGGGAAATTGGACATCCCTTTTCAGAAGGGATGTGGGGAGGAGAGGAGCCAATCAGAGTGCAGTGTAGCAATGAGGAAATATGCACTTTTCCTCTAGTTCTTAAATGCTTCCTCTCTGCCACTACCATGATCCCAATTCTACCTTACATATCCGGCTGGACTGGAGGATGTACACTGGCACAGATAGGAACTGGAAATACAGTGAACCCAGGACAGATGAACCCCCCAAGACCAGTGGAGAGAGTGGCGATATCGGGAGAGTGGAGGGAAGGTGAGGGAGAAAGGGGGAACAGATGACAAGGTCTACATATGGCCTCCTCCCTGGGGGACAGACAGTGGAGAAGTGGGCGAGTGAGACGTTGGATGGGGTAAGATATTATAAAATAATAATAATTTATAAATTATCAAGGGGGAGGGGGAAGCGGGGAGAGAGTGGAAAAATGAGGAGCTGACACCAAGGGCTCAAGTGGAAAGCGGGTGTTGTGAGAATGATGAAGTCAACATATGTACTAATGTGCTGGACACAAATGATGTATGTACGGGTTGTGATGAGTTGTATGAGCCCCTAATAAAATGATTATTAGAAAAAAAGACTAAAAGAGAGAAAATCATTACACATCTTAAAAAAGAGAGTATCATGAACTAACTTGATGCCAATATAGTTGACATTTAGTTAAATGTCAAAGCCAATATATTTGACATCTGACATATTTGACCGGACAAATTCCTTGCAAGACACCAATGATAATGAAGAAATCTTAAAAGTGTTATGACTGTTAAAGAAACGTAATCTTTAATCTAAAATTTTCTCACACAGAATACTGCTGGCCTCAATAGCTTTAACAGTGGAAGTTTCCAAATATTTCAAAAGTAAGTAGTGGCACTGTTATACAAACTTTTCCAAAAACTACAGAAAAAGTAACAAAAATTAAAAGTGGCAAAACCTAACAAGGACTTTATGGCAATGAAAAATTATGAGCTACAAGTAGAAAGGAAATGTTTTGAAAATGATGATGGCAACATATGTACAAATGTGCTTGATACAATGGATTGTGATAAGAGTTGTACGAGCCCCCAATAAAATGATTTAAAATAAACAAATAAATAAAAATTATGAACTAGTTGTTCTATTAATTCAAGTGTAAAATCTCTAAACAAATTGAATTCAGCAAGACAAATTAATACTTATTCCAAAAATGCGAATTTGATGTAGCATTTGAATATCAACACAATCGGCCACATAAGAGAAGAAAAGGGGGAGAAAAAAAAGAGAGAAGAAAAGGGATCATTCCCCCCGCCCCAAATTGGATAAATTCATCACCCATTCATAAAAATAAGCAAACAAATGTCTCTAAAAATTCAGAATATATAAGCTTCCTTAATCTGGTAAATATTCTACAAGTATCATACTTAATAACGAACTATCAGATAGTTTCTACCTGAAGTTGAGAATAAGTAAAAAATATTCACTTACTGTATACACTCGTGTATAAGCCGAGTTTTTCAGCACATTTTTAATGCAGTTTTTGTGGTAAAATTAGGTAGGTGCCTCGACTGATATTCGGGTCGACTTATACTCAAGTATATATGGTAATACTGTATTAGAGGCTATAAACAGTGCAATAAAGCAAGAACACATTTTCAATGTATTAGTATTAGGATGAAAAAAGTAAAACCATCATTCACAAATGTCATGATTATGTACTGAGAAAATTCAAAATCATTTCAGAAAAGTGTACTTATTAGCAAGGTTGCTTTGCTGGAGGGTCAGTATACAAAACTCAACTGCATTTTCTAAATGTTCGATCTAATAAAAACACACCCGGTACCATCAAGTCAGTTCCAACTCAGAGTGGGCCTATATAAAATTTCCAAACCTGTAAATCTCTACAGGAGAAGAAAGACTCATCTTTTGCCCACAGAGTCACTGGTGGGTTTGAACCGCTGACCTTGCAGTTAACAATGAAACATCTAATCTAGTAATGCCAAAAGAGCTCCTTTACACACAGTAGAGCTGGTGGAAGACACTCAAATATTAAGAAAACATTGAAGAATTACATAAGTAGATCCCAAATTAGTACTCAATTCCTTTAATACTCTAACTACAAAACCCTTTTTATCTTGAAAGTGGAAAATCTATTGAGAGTTTAGTAAGGGCAAGTACAAATGGAGCATGTACCTGAGCTCGGTATTTTAAATCAGGACTCCTGAGAAAGAAGAGAACATACCTGCCAGGCAGGAACAGAGGCTGAGTTAGCCATCACTGCTTTTTGCAGCTCTTCGAGAACGGCATCTGGGAGAGGTTTCTGTGACCCCAAGAGTGGTTCACACTGAACTTGTCTCAAAAGTAAGACAACAGCTGGCTGATCAGGGTTACTTTTTAAATTCTGAAAATTAAATGCCAAATTGAAATACATCAAATATGCTCTTAAATGTTAAATGTAAACAATAATTATGCTGTTTTCCATGCTAGAAAAAAATATTTCTGGAATTAGATTCTGTTATTAAAGAGTAAATAACTGCAAAATCTAAATAAATACAACTTTGAACATCCTTGGCAATATTAAACTACATATTTAGGCATTCTTTAAAGACAGCTGAGTAATTTTACACATTATAAGCCTTTGCTTTTACTCTGTTTTTATTATCAGGCAAGATCCTGAAAAATTTAGGTTCTGGATAGATAGCTGAATTAAGAACATATAAAATTAACAGTGAAGGCTAGCTCTATTCCTTACTGGAACAAACTATATTATATAAGAAAGAAATATTCACATTGTCTTTCTCAATCTCTTAAAAAAGATATCTAATGCATGTTCTTCTTCTAGGCACAAACTTCTTTGGATCTGGAGTAAAAATTCACCTATTTTCCCATTTCCTTAAGCTATTATTTAAACTCTAAAGCACACACATACACCTACTTCTGCATATATAGAATTCCTAAGTATATTATACTCATCTGCTCCATCAAAAACTCACTGCTAGCGAGTGGATGCCCACTCATAGCAACCCCACAGGGCAGGACAGAAATGGTCCAGTGAGTTTCCAAGACTGTAACTCTTGGCAGAGTAGAAAGCCCTTTCTTCCTCAATGCAACTGGTGGTTTTGAACTGCAAACTTTGAGGTTAGCTCAGTGCATAACTACTCTGCCACCAGAGTTCCTCTTTCTCTCTCTCTCTCTATATATATATATATAAAGTTAAATGGATAAGTAGTTCTTTAAATAAACCTTTTCACTATTGTTTTACCTTCCTTTACTTTCACCTTAGCTCAGTGCATAACTACTCTGCCACCAGAGTTACTCTTTATATATATATATAAAGTTAAATGGATAAGTAGTTCTTTAAATAAACCTTTTCACTATTGTTTTACCTTCCTTTACTTTCACCTTCCTCTATTGCCTGTCCCTCAATAACATACTTCTGTTTTTTCACTTAGTCGATCACAGACATAAGTGTTATTTCTAACATGCATTTGTTTTCTTCTAACTAAGACAACAATAATATAAGGAGGAATGTCCATAACTATATCACCTATTCTTTCAGAAAGAGCTCAATTGTCGATTAATGCTTAATAAGTACCCACTGTATATCAGCTAGGCATTCCTGGTGAAGTAGGCACTGATTGGTAAGGGGTTAGGCAAGGAAAGATTGAGAGTCTCTGAAACCCAAGGCTCAGTTCTACTCTTTCTTTAAGGTCGCTGAGTCGAAACCTACTCAATGGCAGGAGCTTTGGGTTTGGAGTACATTACCTTGTCCTTTAAATAAGACAAAATATTAATATTTTTCAGAGTTCAAAAACAAATAAGTTTGTAACCTTCAAAAGTCCATTCTCCTTTCTCTATAAAATTTATACTGATCTTTCAGAACACATTTCTAAGAAGGCAATACCATCTCCCTGGTAAGCGTACGCTGCGGAATATGTTCTAAGGAAAAGTTATGCTTCAAACCCTCTTTTTCTGTTGAATTATTTCTGAGTGGGTTTATGAAACTCCTTCTTCATTCAATGCGTATGTACTGATCCTCTACCCAGAACGAGGCAAACAGAATACCCAACCCACAGCCAAGGTGTTGATTCCAGCTCATGGCACTCATACACAGGGTTTCCAAGGATGTACGTCTTTTTAAGGGAGCCTTAGCCTCACCTTTCTCCTGAACCACAGCTGAGGGGTTTGAACCCCCGGCCACATGGCTGGTTAGCAGTCCAATGTTTACCCAAAAGTGCCAGCAGAGCTCCTTACTTACTAGACCAGGCACTAGGAATTGAGGAAAGAGCCTGCACTCACAGGTCCCTACAATCCTGGCACAGAACTGACAACTGAAGGTCTATATTTCCAGGTGTGGTCTAGAATCTTGGGAAAATAAAGGGTCATTAAAAAACACAGCAGTCTGAAAGGAGCAATTAAAAATGAAAGTAAAATACGACTTCTCGAATGCTATTTTAAAAAAAGAAAATGAATTAAAGAGTTTAGGTCGTACAGTCAAGGTAAACGTTGAGTTCAAATGTCAGTTTCTGGCTAAGAGAACAAAAGATTTACCCTCTTTAACCTCTAGTTTTCTCATTTGTAAAGATGGGGATACTAATAAATATCTGCATCGTCAGAGAACTGCTGTGAGTGTTAACTATAAAGTGCTAGACATGGTGATTGGCTTATATCAAGTATCCAATATATGTTGGCTAATATCATTATCCCTATCACCAGATGCTTTTTATGAGATTATTTCCCAAGTAGAATAAAAATCAGGGAATCTCAGGGGCTACATCAGAAGGACTTAACATAGAGGCCTAGTTGAATGAACTGGGCCCTGCCTCAAAGCTGCTTGCACCCTTAGGTTGAGGACCAGGGTAATCAGATGGGAGAGGAAGCAGAGAGTGGGCACCCTGGGACTGTAAAAGTGACAATCATTGGACCGTGGGGGAAATACCCTGCTTGGTAGGTGCTCAATGAAAAGGGACCCAGACAATGAATGTACAAATGTGCTTTACACAATTGATGTATGTATGGATTGTGATAAGAGTTGCATGAGCCCCTAATAAAATGATTTTTTTTTAAAAGAAGAAAAGGGACCCAGAATCACCATATACTTAGTACTTCGATATGACAGGTTTGATCTATTGGGCAGGGATCTATACTTGGAAGAATGGATCCAGGAAGTTTCCCCCTGACATCAATCCCCAATGCTTAGGGTAAACAGAGGGAAATCGCATGGGAGATGGAACTGTGTAGCCAACAACTCACGGGTTGTGGCTCATGGTGGGACTGTACTCGCATAGACTCCTCATATGGACAGTGTCCAGAGTGCCATGTCATTGGGCAAATTAATGATGTTATCGGTGCAATCACCTTATACCTAGGGGGATGATTGACAATGTTTTACTTTTTTGTTTCTTTGTGTTTTTGCTTTCTTGCCTTTTGTTTCTGTTCACTTGCTTGCTGGTTGGTTTGTTGCTGTTATTAGAGTAGTTAGTCTTTTGGGGTTTGGATTTTGTCATAAAGTGACCACCAAAATCAATCTGAGTCATGCATATCTCAAGGGAAGGGAGATGAAATCGGAGCTCCCACTCAACTCTAGCCCCAATCCAAGAACAGTCAGTTCTGAGAACATGTCCCTGCTCTATACTCACCTTCATGAAATGATCACTGAAGATAAGGGAGCTACAGCAAAGTATGGAGAAGAAAGCAGATGGTACCCGGCTATCAATCAAAATAGTGTCTGGGGTCTTAAATGCTTGTATTCAAACAAGCAGCCATCTAAGCCAGGAGTCAACTAAGTCCACATGGAAGACGCACATCAGCTTGTGTGATCCAAAGATGACCATTACAAAATCCAAATATGATGAAGGGAAAAATATCAGAGCTTGAATTGGGAACACCCAATTTATAGAAGGGTATGGAGGACAGTGGGAGCCCAAAACCCATCTGCAGAGTGTCTAGTCACATTAAAACTTTGGCAGATCCCCTCTAGCCATAGGCAAGGGACTCCAACAACCTTACGACCCGACAGACATGACTGTAAACTGGATTAGGCTGGATCGAACTTGATACTTGGTTAGTTGACCTCCCTCTTGAGCCAACTTGAGTTTGTTCTAGGCACCAGTATTTTGTGCTTGTTTCATAACAAAAATTTCTTCCCTGGCTTTTTAAAATACCGATGCTGGTCTTTTCTTTCTTACTCATTATTTGTTATTTTTATCTTTATATTATTATGATCTTACCCTTACCACTTTGTTTGTTATTGTTTCTGTTGGGTTTCCCAGTTTGTGAAGTACAGAAGGAACAGATGTACAGAGATGACAACTGATGCAAGGGCTTCTAGGGTTGGGCTGTAGGTGTGGGAGGCAGGAGATATGGAGGGTGAAGGGGCATGGGGAGCATACAATGAATGAGGGTGGCTGGAGGGAGCACTGGAACAGATTGCGATTATACAACTCATTTTAAAAGCAATTACACCATGAAAATATATGATATGTGAACACTATATCAAGAAAACCATGAAAAAATTTTTTAAAGAAATCAACCTTGACCAATGGTTACCAATAAGTGAAGGAAAAAGGGTTGTTGCACAAAGAGTATAATCAATGCCACTGAAGTATACAAGTAGAAGTTGTGGATTCGGAAAATGTTTTTTTGTGTATATTTTTGCCACAATTAGAAAAAAAATTACATTAATAACAAGGACAAGGAAGAAGGAATGTTCTAGAATTGAATATGATGACAATTGTATGACTCTTCTTAATATGATTGAGTGATTGAATTGTATGACAGGTGGGTAAAGTGCTAATAAAACTGTTAAAAGTAAAAGGAATCGGGGTATCCTGGTGCCCAGCTCCAAAAAAATACCTGTGCACACAGGGCTTCAGCTTCGGGCGTTCTTCCAGTCTCGAGGAGCCCACTGACCGTTTGGGAGAGAGACCACTTCTCCAGTGATTGTTTATACTTCTCAGGGAATGCATTTTCTTTTACTAAACGAAAAAGAAAGAAATTAAATGTTACTATCATCTGCCATTTGTGTTCTCACAGGAACAAATAGTTGCTAAAAGGTATTAGGTAGGTCATGCATATATAATTTTTTGTAGTTACAATAAAATACCATACAGTTTATTCTGATAGAGAAGCTTTGTTAGTATTTGTGGCTAAATAACTTAAAGAACTTATCTAGTTGAGAATTACATCAACAATCACTATATCTTAAAAAAACACTACAAAGAATTCATCAAGACACACAATAAACTATAAGTGTACATATATTTAAGTGATACAATTTAATAAGTTTCACTTTGAGAGTACAATCAAGGCAATATTTTCCTCCTACACCTTTATAATCACTTCTACCTCCAATACACCCTTACCAACCAATCCCTTTGTGCTGTCCCCAGGTAACCACAAATTAATCTGCTTGGTTTTACAATAGACTTTATTTTTTATTTGGAGAATCAGTGAAACGTTTGTCTATCAACAAAATTCATTCCCTTCATTGTTGAGCGGTATTCTATTGGTATAGCGATTCCAGAGTGTACTATATCAATGGCTAACCACAGTATTTTATCATTTCACCCACTGAGGGACACATGGGTTGTTTCTAATTATACATGAACTTGCTACGAACACTCGGGTACAAAACTTTACAGATCTATGTTTCCATTACTCCTGGGTACTTAGAAGTGCAATGGCTGTTTTTTTTTGTTTTCAATTTTGGACTTTTTCATTTGTAAGTAATTGTCAAATTCTTCCAAAGTGGTGAGCATTTCCGCATCCTCATCAATAGTGTAGAAGCATTCCGGTTGCTCTATATCCTCAACATTCATTGTGGGCAGTCTTTATCATTGTAACTATTCTAGTAGGTTAGTGATATATTACTGTGGTTTCAATGTCCATTTCCCTAGGAATATTCAATCATCTCATATGCATGTGAAAATTGGATATTGACTACAAAAGAACAAAGAAGAATCAATGTATCTGAATTATAGGGCTAGCAAAGAATACTGAAAGTACCATAGACTGTCAGAAGAACAAACATATCTGTCATGAAGGAAGTACAGCCAGAATGCTCCTTAGAAGCTAGGATGGTGAGACTCCACCTCATGTACTTTAGACATGTTACGAGGAGACCAGTCCCTAGAAGAGGACAGCATGCTTGGTAAAGTAGAAGGATATTGAGCAAGAAGAAGCCCTTCAATGATTAGTGGCTGCAACAATGGGCCTGAATGTAACAATTGTGAGGATGAGGCAGAACTAGGCAGTGTTTCCTTCTGTTGGATACAGAGTCGCAGGGAGTTAGGACCAGCTTGACAGCTGGCAACAAGTACTGTTACCCTTCTTTTCATGTGTCAATGAGGGGTCTTCACACATTTCATAGGAAAAACATTGTGAAAAAATTATGCATGCTTTCACATTTTTTAGCACCCAAATAAACTCATACTAACTTATTATAACATGACTCAACAGGACCTGGTTTGAGACACTATGAAAAGTAAGACATTAGATTGAAAAGAGCCTGGTCAGAGAAGCATGAGTCCTGCGAAAACTGAAGCAAGGTTCACCTCCACCAGTCCTCGATGGAAGGAAGGCAAGGTTCTCCAGTCCTGACAGATTTACAGCTTCAGAAGCCCCGTGTAAGGTCACTGTAAGTCAATGGCAGTGGGCTGGGGGAAAGAAATGTATAATCAATGATGCTTTATGAGAAGTAGAGACAGAGTCCCAGAGAAGCATCAGTTTACAAATGGATAATTCCTTTTGGAGAGGGACAAGTCAATGCTGAAGATAATGTCCACTGAGGCAGACCATCCACATCAATTTATAAAGAAAAAAATTAATGTGATTCACGATCAAATTAAGAGGATTGAGAATGAAACAACAGCCAATACCACAGACATTTCAACTGGCTCATCTTGCGTAACTCTGACTGAAAAATTCAAGCTATCCAAACATTCCATTCGATGAGTACCCAAACTATTGCACCCAGATCAGCTACAGAAGAAAGCAAGGATTTCAGGAGAAATTTTAAACAAGTTGGATCAAGATCCTGAAACATTTCTTGGAAGGACTGCAAGCGGAGAGGTACGGTGTGGCTTTCTCAGTGTGATGCTGAAGACAACACAAGCAAAGCATTGGCAACCAAGAGATACAAGTGGCCCGATCAAAGCAAAAGTCGATCAGGCAAGGGGACAGATCTTGGCAGCAGTTTGAGAGGGATGCTCAGGGCACTTTGCAAGCTTACTTTCTGGAGAGCCAAAGAACAGGAACAGTTGCTTAGTATCAAAATGTTTTGAGGTTAGCCAACCCGTTAGCTTAAAAAAAAAAAAGCTCAGGAAAGTTCCACCTGTCTTTCTCTACCACGACAACGCTAATGAGCTCCTGCTCATTCCCCTCATCAAATAATTTCCAATTGTACAGTATATATAGAAAGTTTCCTATTTGGACTGTGGAGGCCACATCTGACCTCTTCTGGCTACACAAAAGGGAAGAAGAATCCACTCCACAGCTACCTAAGGAGGCTTCTTATGAGGCAGCAGTCTCCTCACCTCTACCTTTCCACCTGTTTTACCCTGTTATGACCCAACTTCTGACCTTAACTGTAGTCAGACCCTACCTGTCCCTGCCATAGTATTCATAGTATTTCTCTGCTGGGTTTGAGATCAGTTGCAGTGGCCACAAAGAATTCATAGATCATACTCCCCATTATGGGCAGGTTATTTGGAAAGATAGCAGGTTAAATCAAGTCTGGTTCAGAAAACATTAAGGATACAGTCCTTTTGTCTGCAGTACCTCTTCTCAGCTCTACTAGCATGCATCTCTCTCTCTCTCCCTCTGGTCCTAGGCCTCTAAGCCATGTAGTCTGTTGATCTCTTCCATAGTTAGGCAATTGTTACAAAACTCCTTCAGCCTTATAAATGCCCAAAGGGCACGCTGCAAGTCAGCCTACTGCTGGAAGACACTCGTCTTTACTAACCAGCAGACCAGGGAGTCTTCCATTGCGTACCACCACTGCCTTTCCTCATAAAGACCTTGGCTGTGCTCTTCTCTTGGCTCTTCATTCTTCGTGCCGATGAGATTCTCTGTTCCTGTTTCTGAGATGGCTCACTTTACACCCATTAGAATGGCAAAACTAACCAATCCTCGTCGATCAATTTCATACAACTTATTTGCATGCTCCCATACAGTCATTTGATGGACGTTACAAAGAATGCATACAAGAGTCATAACAAGTCATTTTACTTCACTGCAGATCTGGTATACCACCATGCTGCTAAATTCACTAACCAGCTGTTTTTTGTAGATTCTACAGGATTTGTACATAAACAATCATACTACCTATTAATAAAGACAGTTTTACCTCTTCCATTGCAATTCATATACTCTTTCTTTATCATTCTTGCCTATTGCACTGGCTGGAACCTCTATTACCTCTAGATGTAAGTGAAGAATCCTTGTCTTATTCTTGATTTTATGGGAAGGAGTTCAAATTTTCATATTAAATGTTAGTTGTAGGTTCTTTTAGATAGCCTATTTCAAGTTGAGGTAGTCCTCATTCTTAGTTTACTAAGCTTTTATCAGGCATAATTTTGTTACATATTTTGCTTTTTTAGTCCATCAATATACTGAATTTCAAATGTCAAAGCAATCCTGCATTCCTCATTTGGTAACAATGCATTATTATCTCTTTGTGTATAATTTGATTGATCTGCTAATGTTTTTATTATGAATTTCTGCATTTACATTCAGGAGTGTTATTTTTCTAATAATGTCCATGTGAGTTTGGTATAAGGGTTACACTGACCACATACAAGTAGTTAGGAAATGCTCCCAGCTCAATTTTCTGGAAGAATTTGTATAGAATTGGCCTTATTTATTCCTTAAATGTTTCATAAAATCAGGAAAGCCATCTTCTCCTGGAGTTTTCTTTATGAGATGGTTTTAAACAAACGTGTCGTTAATGTAAAGCTATTCAGATGATTTCTTCTTGAATAAGCATTACTATTTTGTGTCTTTTAAGGAATGCATGCAATTCATCTAAGTTTTCTAATTTAATGTCATAAACTTGTGTACAAGATTTTCTTACTAGCTACCCCACCACTACCATAGTTCATAGAGGGCAGTTAATAATGGTTAATATTTACTAAAAAAAAAAAAAGCTGATAGCCTAAAACAAATTCATTGAAAAACTACTGCCCTAAGGCAAAAAGTGGGTTAGCTGCCTATTTTGATGCTATAGAGAGAACAACTTTTCAACTAAGTGATTTATGGATATAGAAGGCAAAAATACCCCTCAACACTGCTATGGGGTTGATTCTGACTCATATCAACTCCATCCAAGATAATGTTAAATGAATCTACCCACTGTCCACGATTCGCGGGAAGATTCACTGAACAAATTCAGTGCTGGCTAAAAGAACCCTTTGCTGGTTCTGTCTATCCATGAAACATCAGTCAAGAGAAGAAGCAGGCATACTCTATGAAACAAAGACTTTAGCTAACAGAACATACTGGACTGTTAGGTTATACACATACCCATTACCTTTCTCCATAGCTATTATACATATAAGATCCTAGGTAGCACAGTGGCTTGTGATAAACGGCTAAACTAAGTGTTGGTGGTTCGAACCTGCCCGATAGACTTGGTGGAAAAGAAAGGCCTGGTGAACTACTCTGGTAAACACAGCCAAGAAAACCCAAAGCAGCAGTTTTCCTCTGTTATACATGGGGACAACATGTGTTGGGGGCCGGGGAGGCAGCTAGCAACAACATTATACCTACAAATCTTTAGTTAATAATATATCTTTATAACCTATGCAACTTAGATTGTTTGTGTTCCTGATTTTAATAGCCATTTAAGGAATGTGAATGAAATAACATTTAAACGCTTTTTAAAACTTACAGGAAGCAGAAATAGCAGACAAGAGTGCTAAGTATACATCCATCCTCTTTGGCTGAGTTTTGTTCAGTAGAGCCAGCTTGTCATCAGCATAACAGGCTGCCATTAGCCCGCCCCAAACAGCAGGGTCGCCTAAAGACAGGACAGGGAATATATGTAGATATTGTTACTCTCACCATGTTGCTAAAAATTACAAATAAAAACAGTCTACAAGTTAAAGAAAGAAAATTAATTGCATCCCCAGAAATCTTGAAACAAAATGTCACTTTCCGTGGGAAACTGAGGAC